TTTACAAGAAGTGTGGTTGTTGCATCGTCGGTTAGGGCATGCATCTTTTGGGTATTTACGGCATATGTTACCTAGTCTATTTAGTGGAATAAATGAATCAGACTTACATTGTGAAGTATGTATTCTTGCTAAAAGCCATCGAGCTTCGTTTCCTCCTAGTATGAATAAAAGAGCTTTACCGTTTGAACTTGTGCACTCTGATGTTTGGGGACCATCTCCTGTTGTTACTTCTTCTGGGATTAAGTGGTTTGTTACGTTTGTTGATGATTGCACTCGTATGACGTGGTTATATGTGGTGAAAAATAAGAGTGATGTTGGTATGGTATTCCGAACCTTTTCTCAAATGATTCGGACACAATACTTATCTGTAATTAAAGTTATTCGTTCTGATAATGGTGGTGAGTATCTTAATTGTGAGTTGTCGGAGTTTCTTTGTGATCAAGGCATTCTCCATGAAACAACTTGTCCCTATACTCCACAGCAAAATGGAGTGGCTGAACGGAAAAATCGCCATATCTTAGAAACGGCACGTGCTCTACTTCTGGACGCGTCTGTTCCTAAGATTTTTTGGCCTGAAGCAGTTACTTATGCTGTCTACGTGATTAATCGTATGCCCTCTCGTGTGATTGACTTTCGAACTCCTCTTCAAGTCCTCACTCAACATGTTCAGGTGATGTCTACTCATACTCTCAAGCCCCAGGTATTTGGTTGTGTGGCTTATGTACATATTCCGAAAATTCATCGCACTAAGTTGGATCCGTGTGCCCTTTGATGTGTGTTTGTTGGTTTCTCATCTCACCAAAAAGGATATAAATGTTATCACCCTGAGACTCGGCATATGTATGTTACTATGGATGTGACCTTTTCTGAATCGGAGTTTTTTTATGCCCCCGTATCTTCATCTTCAGCTCACCAGGGGGAGAGCTCTAGTGGTGATTTGGAATGGTTAGACTTGGCAGGAAATACTGTGGTTGATGCTGCGGCCGTGCATGCTGATGCTGCCGTGCCTAATGCGGCAGTGATCATACATGCCGTGCCAGATGCTGCTGAAATACCAAACATGCCACGGCATGAGTCAAAAGTTGCTGCCGAGAGCAGCATGCAGTCAGAAACAAAAGATGCCGAGAGTGATCTGCAGTCAGGCCAGTTCATTGTCGAGCCTACTTGTGTAACCCCCTCTCTCTCTAACTCCACGGTGATGCCCAATGATTCTTCTCTGAATAAGCCTGAGGTAAGTATTGTGGATGATTATGTAACTAATGCAAGTACTGATGTAAATACATATAAGTTGCCACCGAGACAAAATCGGGGTGTGCCACCTGACAGGTTTTCTCCGGAATGCAAAGTAAAGTATCTGATAGCCAACTATGTCTCATGCAATGGTCTTGCACCAGAGCGTAAGACCTTGATAGACAATATGGAGGCTATTCGAGTACCAACTCGTGTGGATGAGGCTCTAAAGGATCCAAAGTGGGCAAACGCAATGGATGAAGAAATGTTGGCATTACAGAAGAATAATACCTGAGAGGTGACGTCCTTGCCGGAGGGAAAAAAAACAGTTGGATGCCGGTGGGTGTTTACCGTCAAATACAAAGCCGATGGATCAATAGACAGGTACAAAGCAAGGTTGGTAGCTAAAGGATACACCCAAACATATGGTGTAGATTATCAAGAGACGTTTTCTCCGGTTGCCAAGATGAATACGGTACGTGTTCTGATATCTTTAGCCGCTAATATGGACTGGCCATTAAAACAGTTTGATGTGAAAAACGCTTTTCTCCATGGGAACTTGGAGGAAGAAGTATATATGGATTTTCCTCCTGGGTACAGTGCTGGTAGAAGTACCGAAGTATGCCGGTTGCGTAAGTCTCTTTATGGGCTGAAGCAATCGCCTCGTGCATGGTTTGATAGGTTTACTCAAGTTATGAAAAAGATTGGGTATTATCAGAGTCATTCTGATCATACATTGTTCGTTAAACGGAGACAGAAAAAAGTGACAGCCTTAATCATCTATGTAGATGACATGATTATTACTGGAGATGATTGTGATGAGATTTCAAGATTACAGAAGAATCTTGCCGCTGAGTTTGAAATGAAAAACCTGGGGGATTTGAAATATTTTCTTGGAGTTGAAGTTGCTCGATCTTCGAAAGGTATTTTCTTGTCACAACGTAAGTATGTTGTGGATTTGCTAAAAGAAACTGGTATGCTGGGATGCAAGACAGTAGATACACCTATTGTTGAAAAACATCATCTATGTGTGGATCCGAATAAGAAATCAGTTGATAAGGGGAGATATCAGAGACTTGTAGGGAGACTAATTTATTTGGCTCATACACGGCCTGATATTGCCTATGAAGTAAGTGTAGTAAGTCAACTTATGCATTCACCAAGTCTAGATCATATGGCTGCTGTTATGCGTATCTTAGCATATTTAAAGTCTGCATCTGGGAAAGGAGTTCTATATCGGAAGTATGGACATTTGAGAATTGAGGGGTTCACGGATGCTGATTGGGCAGGGAGTGTAGGTGACAGACGGTCTACTTCGGGATACTTTACTTTTGTATGAGGAAATTTGGTTACATGGAGAAGTAAAAAATAGAAGGTAGTATCAAGATCCTCGGCTGAGGCCGAGTATCGAGGGATGGCTCACGGCATTTGTGAGATTCTCTGGCTTTGAAAGCTTCTTGAGGGGCTTGGGTTCAAGCCAAAGGAAACCATGAGACTATACTGTGATAATAAGTCAGCAAGAGATATAGCTGATAATCCGGTACAGCATGATAGGACAAAACATGTGGAAGTTGATCGACATTTTATTAAAGAGAAGCTTGAAAGGAAGATTGTGTCAATACCTTTTGTGAAGTCAGAGGAGCAACTTGCAGACGTTCTAACTCATGCAGTATGTAGTCGAAGGTTTGATGACTCGCTTGTCAAGTTGGGCATGTGTGATATCTATGCACCAACTTGAGGGGGAGTGTTAGCGTGAGTCAATATTAGGAAAAATAGAGAATGTTAATAATAGGAGTCCTTTATTAAGTAGGTTTGTGTATATGTTTTTTGTTTCCTTGTAAAACTATGATAGCACATGTATATATTTCTAAACAAGTAATAGAAGATTTAATTCCCGTAAAAGTTCTATTCTAGTATATCATGTAAATAAATGTTTCTATAAACCATTTTAAGCATACATTATCAAACACTTGCCATTAACTCCGTCACACTTGCCATTAATTTGTTATTGAATTTTTTCAGCTTTTAAATTTGCTTTTCTTCTAACCAATATAGATCAAATTTACTAAATCATCCTCATATTAGTTCATGTGCTTGGTATCATGACAAGTTAACGACAAAATGGATATTAACTGACCTAGGTGTTAGATTCCTACCAAATATAAAGTTTGGATGGTATATTGCCGAAATAAAAAGTCTAGCTGATAATTGCGCACACAACTACAAGAAGGATAACTTAATTTAACTTATGATAATTGCGTGCACAACTACAAAACAATTTGAGTTTAACTTGCAAAATTTTTAACATGACGAACAAAATGCACTACTAGATGTAGAGCTGATTTCAACAGCTTGATTGATCCATTATGTTCCAAATTAATTGATGTAGTTAGCTTGTTTTTTTGTTATTATTATTATAAGATATCATTGCCAATGTAGTTGGTTTCATGTTTTTGTCTTCTCATATATATTTAGATTTTAATAAATTTTGAACAATATATTAATATCATAAACAATTTTTTCAACATTTAGTTTTAGTTTGGAAAAAAAAAAAACATTAGTTTTAGTTTACAATTACTTTATTATAAACCTATTAGCCAATTAAAATGGTCAAAACCCAGGCGAATAAAATGAAGGGGCGTTCTATTCACATATCATTTTTTACTTTTAATACATTCCTTATTAATTTTTATCATTTGAAATTCTTTAATTCATCTGATCCGATAGGATAAAATTTAAAAAAAAATATGTGTGAAGTAAAAAGAAGTGTGTAAATATCATATTCTAAAATGAAAAATGAAAAAAGAAAAGGAAATAAATAAATAAATGGAAAAACATATATTTTCACCCTGATCTCTTAGAGCAGTTCCATCGGGGAACCTTTAGGCGGGCACCCAGCGACACCCAGCCAATCCACTCCAGCCGAGCAGATAGGTTGGCACCCAGCCCAAGTTGGTCTCTAGGCCGGCTCAAAATGTGCTAAGCCCTTGCCCGGCCTACATGACGCCAGGCGATACCGTCACGCCTCCCTCAACCCGAATTCGATTCCCTGGGTGTGGAGCACCTCCTTGGCGAGCTCCGGCGAGGAGACGACGAAGAAGCAGGGAGTCCAGAGAGAAGAAGAAGAAGCAGGGAGTCCAGAGAGAAGAAGAAGAAAGGAAGAAAAAGAAGGGAAGAAGAAGAAGGGCAGCGGCGCCAGCAGCGTGATTCTTGACCCCGAGCTCAGCAGCAGCGGCGGCACTGGCAGCGTCGAGGCCGAGTCCCAGAAGCTCCCTTCCTCCAAGTACAAAGGCAGTGGTCCCGCAGCCCAACGGACGCTGGGGTGCCCAGATTTACGATAAGCACCAGCGCGTCTGGCTAGGTACCTTCAACAAAGAGGACAAGGCCGCCAGGGCCTACAACATTGCTACACAATGCTTCCGTGGCCGCAACGCCGTCACCAACTTTAAGCCCTCATCCGCCGAAAAACTATGCTTGACTGCACAATTGGAAAATCAGGGAAGAAAGTGGGAAAAGTGGGAAGAAGAAGAAGAAGAAGTCAGAAATTTAAAATTAAATTATTATTTTATAATAAAAATAATAATATTTTAATAAAATGAACTAGGTTATTTTTTTTAAGGGTGAAGATGCTTTGGCCTATTACCGTTCCATGTGATTTATTACTGTTCAGTTGAGTAGATAAATGTGCTTGTGCTGGCGCAAAGTCTTAAGAGTCTTAAGCCGCCCTCCCCCCACAACCCCCCCCCCCCCCCCCCAAACCCCCCCCCAAAAACAAAAAATCTCTCGTCATCCCCAAACCCCCAATTCATATCTGTTCCTCCATCCCGCCATCCCGCCATAATCAGTCTCACTCTCCCACTCTCCCTCCTCGCCACTCGCACGCGCACTCGCCTTTCCTTCTCCTCCAATCCCCCGTTCAACTCACACAGGTTTCTATCTCACGCTTTCCATTTTTTCCCTCCAACTGAGAAATTGGGAGAAGGGTTTTGATGAAATCACATTGGGTTTTTAAATTAATTTTTTTTTTCCTTCAGCTACTTGCTGTGCACATAATATAGGTTGTATTGAATTGAATATTTATTTTAATTGGGAATATTGTTGCCCTGATGATTGCGTATTCGGATTCGCGGTTTTTTGTTCTGCATTTGAACGTGGTTGTAGGTTTTGTATTGAATTTTTGGTCAAGTAAATTTAGAGTTGTAGTATGTGCATTTGCTGATCATGTTTCTTGGTGTGAAATTTTTGTGTCTTTCTCTAACAATCTCATGGATTACGCAGTTACTTGGCAGAAAAGAGGTTGCATAAAATGGAGCATCAAATCGCCAATCAGAGTTCTTCGAATGAGGTATGAGTGTGTGTGTTTTTTATGATTGTATCAATGTTAAGAAATGTGAAATTTGCTTGGTTAGTCACCCATTTGTTTCTTCATTGTCCGGTAGCTTTACGCCTATGTTGGAAACTATTTAGGGAGTTAGGATCAGTTGACCCTAGTGTGATTCGCTTCGTATTCCTCCTCCTACATATACACACAGTGTACACTACCTTCCTCTCATCCTCCTCCTCCTCGCTGTTTAACCAATTTCTGCAACTTTTTTCTCTATTTGTTTTTGTATATTTCTGAAGGTTGATTTTTATTTTATTTAATTGGCTTTTTTGTTGTTGTGTAAATGTTGATTCATGTTGATTAATAAATGGAAAAATGAAGGCAGGGATTGTGTGTATCGGTGTAGTGCTAGAATCAGTGCACTCTGATCCGAAAGAGTTCCCTGCAACATGAAATCAAAAGGGGAAGGTGGGCAGTTGTTCTTCATCCACCTGTTGAAATTTCAACTATCATCTTCCCCATATTCCATTGTTTTGTTTCTGCCATTTTCTGGGTCATTTGGTTCGAATGAAACAGTTTCATCTTTGAGGACAAAGATGCTAGATGCAGGGAGGATATGTGGGATAAAGTTCGACTATGCTTTTCTCATTGGGCTTCGGTTACTAAAGAATTTAAAGACGTGTCTTTCTCTTGTATTTTGTTTGATTGGAGGGCATCCGTTATCTAATTCTGTGCTGCTCTCTTCCTTTCCCCATTGTATATCTTTTTCTTTTGATATTAAAATGATATCGTTTCTATTAAAAAAAAAAAAAAAAAAAAAAAGATAGTAAGGGAAATTGAAACATTTCTAATAATTTTCTTTTTTCACCAGGAATACAGCTCTGCTGGGGGCAGCGGTGCTTTCTCAGAACGTGTGATCGACTTCACTGGTGAATTCACAACAAATGAGGTTTGTCCTATTTAAATTTTGGCTTGTGACTTATGATTGAGAAGTTGGATTAGAGATAATGTATATTTGCACTGTGTAGATTTTTAAGAGTAGAGACGAATTGGTGGAGTGGGCTCGCGAGCGAGGACATAGTATTGGTTTGGTGATTATTATCAAGAACTCGGATACAGGAGGGGTTGGTAGTAAGAAACCCCGAATAAAATTGGGCTGTGAAAGGGGTGGCATTTACAAAAGGAGGATTGATGAGAGTGTCCAGAAGAAAAGGCGTAAAAGGAGTGGTACAAAAAAGTGTGGATGCCCATTTCTACTGAAGGGTGTGAGCTTGGGTGACTGACGATGAGTGGAAATTGGAGGTTATATGTGGAGTTCACAACCACCATGCTGAAAAGAGCAACGCGAGGAGGTTATCTGAAGAGGAGAAAGCAGTGTTGGTAGATATGTCCAAGAGTTCAGCCAAACCCAAAGACATATTACGCACTATTCAAAAGAATGATGGACTCAACATCAATGAAACAATGAAAACAATTTATAATGTCAGACAACGGTTGAAGTTGAAAGAGAATGCTGTGAGATCACAGATGCATGTATTGCTAAATAAGTTATCCGATCACAAATATATTGAGTGGCATAGGAGCTCAGATGACAATAGTATGGTGAAAGATCTGTTTTGGACTCACCCTGCTAGTGTAGATGTCTTACGTGCATTCCCCCATGTCCTAATCATGAATTGCATAAGTGAGACGTATTATTTTCCCCTTTTAGAGATCGTAGGGGTGACTTGTACTAATATAACCTTCTCAGCTGCATTTGCTTACCTTGATGCTAAGAATGAAGACAATTACATATGGGCTTTGAGTAGATTGAGGGCTGTGTTGGATGAACATTGTCTTCCTACAGTTATTGTCATGGACAAAGACTTGCCTCTCATGAGTGCCGTCCATAGTATTTTTCCAAGTGCCCGACATTTGTTGTGTAAATTACATATCAGCAAACATGTGTTGGCAAAGTGTAAGGACATGTTTGAGGGTAAAGATCAGTTGGATAAGTTCATGATGAGTTGGAATATGTTGGTGTTATCGGAGACAGGGCACGAGTATCAAAGCCGTCTGCATGAGCTTGATTATTATTTTGGTAGATATCCACATGCACTTGAATATGTGAAGAACACTTGGTTGAACGAGTATAAAGAGAGGTTTGTGTCTGTATGGACAGATACATGTATGCATTATGGCCACGCGACGTCAAATAGGTAAATTTGTTAAGCTTATTTGTTTTCATATGAAAGTCATTATATACTACTAACTATTTTGTATGGCAGGGTGGAAGGCGCAAGTGCAAAACTGAAAAAACTACTTGGCAACAGCCGAGGTAGTTTCGAAATGTCTTGGGAAAGGATTCACTCCTTGTTAGAGTTGCAACATGAAGACATCAAGGTATCACTTGAGAAGTGTTTGGCCGTCGTCCAACACAATTTCATGCATGATGAATTGAAGGAGTTGCGAGGTTTTGTATCCACATTTGCTTTGAGCACAATTGTTTGTGAGTCGAAGAAAGCCAATTTGGTGGGGGTGGATTATTCGTCATGTGGTTGCACCATTCGACGCACACATGGATTGCCCTGTGTGCATGAGATTGCAGAGTATAGACAAACTCATCGCCCCATTCCACTTTATTGTGTTGATCCTTATTGGAAGAAATTGGATTTGTTGTACTCCCCAAAGTTTAGTGACCACACAACTCACGTAATTACAAAAATGTATAGGATCTTAAAGCAGTGGATGGATAGCGATGAGGATGGCAGGGTAGATATTAGTACAAAGTTGGAGGAGATTCTGAATATGGAGTCAATCACCAAGACTACCGAGCAGCCAAGTAGAATTGGCACGACCACTCATTGCAATCTTTCTACCTTTGAGTTGGCTTTGTCCTGTCAAGTAAGTCATTCACCAGCTGACAGGGTTGCCGCAGTCACTACCACTTCCCACTCGGAGAAAACAACGAGGCATCCACCCAAGATGAAGGTATGTATGAACATCATTGACTTTTATTCACTATTTAGTAATGTAAGATTTTTTGTCGATACTTGAAAGTAGAAACTAGTATATTTATGAATATTGCTGTGCAGGCGCTCAGGATGTCTCCTCTCACTTCTTCTACGCTGAAAGAGCAGTTTCCTACTGCTTTGAAGCCATATATTTCCTCAATTAGGGATTTTACAGGTGATGGTAATTGTGGTTATCAAGTTATAGCTGGATTGATGGGTTTTGGTGATGACTCTTGGAGCAAGGTACGCAGAGAATTGTTGAATGAGTTGCGTTCTCATCAAACACATTATGAGAAGCTTTTCAGTAGACATGATAGGGTTGACGAGCTTATGCATGCACTCTCATTCTTTGAGGATTCACCACCATATGATAGGTGGTTGACCATGCCTGATATGGGACACATTATCGCATCATGCTATAATGTAGTTGTGATCTATTTATCCATGTCATTATGTCTCACATTTTTGCCAACGAGGACTGTGTCATTGCCCTTGTTAGAGCGCCGACATATTGCCATTGGTTCAGTCAGTGACGACCACTTTGTTCAGGTATTGTACATGGCTTGAATACCTTAATTACCATATATGCTTTGATGTGCTTCGTGGAGGTGATTGCCCATTCCTAACAGTTGGTGTGTCATGTTCTCCATAGATTTATATGTTTCCAGGGCATCCAATGCCACCTGTTTCGGAATGTTGGCACCGAGTTTGCCTACCAGGTACTGATGGTTGGCAAATCCCATACGCTGAACGTATTCTACGATTTAGACAGACTTTTGGTTCGGATGTAGCTACTCAAGAGATGCAGTCGCTCAATAACTGTTGACATGATCTGATCGATATTCTTTTTGGTCAGCGGTTGACACTCAATTTTTCATTGGTTGCTAATACATTGTTACAACACTCTGTGAATAGTTATAAGATTGTACAGTGTTCAAGTTTTTCCTTTTTCCGAGCCTGTGCTTGTGCATTTTTTTCTTTTTCTTTACAACGCAGGGTAACATTTCCCTTTGTTTTGCCCTTCATTCAAGAAGTTTTTATTGGCATGCAAATGGATGTTTACCCCCCTCCCCTCTCCCCAACCCAAACAAATATTATCTATCATCTTTTTAACCTTTTGTTTCCACTGATCTGAACCGGTTTAAGGAATTGTCATGTAAAGAAAACTATAATCCTTCCCATCTAAGTTTTCAATGATCCTTGTTTTTGTTTCCAACCACAGCACTGAAAGCTAAGCTATTGATCTGCAACTACAGAAGACTTTCACCTTCTCCCCCAAACTCAAGGATCAATTCTTCTGATAGAACAAAAGAACCCTTGATTTTGGAATTATGCAAGACAAGTCAGTCTCCCTCTTCAATATTTATGCGACGAGGCAATAGATGACCCATATAATGCAATTGAAAAATAATGATGTGATAAAATTCCAGATGATCTGTTGGTTCTATCTTGTGAAGAAGATTATGAAATTTGTGTGCCTTTACTCGAAAAAGTAGGGGTCAGTTGCACCCATTTCATGCTAACTGCTAAGTTTATCTTCCTCAACATCTAAACTTCAGCAGCTGAGCTCGCCCTTCAAGCTGGAATACCACCGGTAACGAGAAAAAGATGACCTACCGACATTTATCCAGGGATTACAAAGTTGAGCAAAAGGTTTTCATCTTAGAGGTTGAAGATAAGTCTTTTGGTGAAAGGATTCTTTTAACAGAGAGAACTAGATATAGAGGGTACCAGATTTCTTTCGATTTGGGTTGCGCTGCTTGGCTCATTGATCAGTTAAAGGAGGCGGTAGTAACAGGCGGTCAGAATTTCTTCAGAAAATATAGAGGTCATAATTATCAGTTTTGGGTTGAAAGATTCCACAACAAAAACGGGGATTTCCTTGTTCTGTCCAAAACAGAAAAGGATGGTTTTGTCAGGAATATCTTCATCCCTAAAGGAAGTAACTTTTTCGGCTGGAGAAGTTTGGAGGACCTACTGTCTGAAATCCTCCGAGGGGGAAATAGAGCCGGGGCTTCTCAGAGGAATGTGAAGAGGGATGGAATTGAGCCTTTGAGCAGCCACTCGGGGTTTGGCCCTCAGGTTTCGTATAGAGATGCAGTTCTTGGAGGCAAGACGTTGACAAATGAGGCACCCCTTCGAAACGTCAGAGAGGAAATATGGATCAAGAAAAACTAGAATTTGAGAGATATTTCCACGGAATCCTATTGTTGGGGGAGTGTAATCATTTGTGAGAGACTTGTGGTGCATCAGCCTTGGAGAGATGTGGAGGCCTCACTTCAAAATCTGCTGGGAAAGAAAATTTGGCTTTCACCTTTCCAACGCAACAAGGCCTTGTTTGTTTGTCAGAACGAAGAGGAAGCAACAAAAATTGCTCAACTTGGAGTTCTAGCCATGAATAAGTTACCAGATGTGGTGTTGTCTGGATGGTGGGACAGTATCAAATCAAACCACAGAAAGGTGGTTAGCTATGGTGGATGGGTTGCTTTGGAAGGTTTACCGCCGCACCTTTGGACCAATGATTTTTTCCAAAAGATTGGCGATGCATGCGGTGGTCTGGTAGAAGTTGACCGTAGAACAGCTAAGTTTGGTTTTTTGCTTGAAGCAAAGTTAAAAATCAAACCAACAACACTGGCTTTATTCCAGAGTTCGTAAATGTGGCAGATGGAGAATTAGTATTTAGGGTAAAAATCCGTCAACTTTCGCCAGCAAAGAGACCTAATCTTTCGGCAGCAGATTGTGGGGTAACCAAAATACCAAATGGCTCTTTGAAGACTGAATTGAAGTTACAGAGGATCACCGGAATTATCCCTCCGGCGAAGGCAACTTTACAACAGACTGCCCCTATATCGAGGACACGTGTCTGCTTTCAGATTGGAGAATTTGAAAGCCCTGTCACTGTTGGATCTGAAAGAAAGCAAGGTGAGAGCATGCACGTGACTGAGGGTGTGCGGATTGAGGAGCCTGTAATTAATGCGTCTACTTTTTCTGTAAGAAAGCAAGGTGAGCAACAACGAGCAGAAAAACTGACATAAGCGGCGGAAATGGCAGAAGCGGTGGATTCCACAAAAGGAGCAGAAAAGGCAGTTGCAAGGCATTATTTTAATAAATCAAAAGAGAAGGGAAGTCACAAAGAAATTTTCTATTTAGATAAAGGCAAGGGCTTGGAGGTATGTGGGACAGATGGTGGCGGTGGTATTTCCACCGAAGGAGCACAAAAATCAACGAAGGAGTTTTATTTTAATAGGACAAAAAGGGAGGTTAATCTCAAAAGTGGTCTCTTTTGGATTAAAGAAAAGGTATTGGAGGCAAGTGGGCCTTCCATTAATAAGGAGATTTCTTTATATGACTCTGCAAGGATGGTGGGTCTTGACCCACAAAATCTTTTTGCTGGGTCATGTCTAGGCCCAATTAATCTAAAATTCAATGGGCTGAGATTTCAACTACAAGAAGGAAAAGTTTTGTCCACCATGGATAATACGCAAACATCCCTGTTGGTGGAATCAAAGCACTCGAATTGGTTGACAATAGGAAGTAGCACTTCAAAGTATTCAACAGTGAACAAATCTCACCGTGTTTTGGCTAAGGAAGCTCATCATAATGGTGTTTCAAGAAGAACCCCAATTTGTTTCAAATTGAATTTCCTTGGGAGATTTGGCGAATCTGATAAATGTGGAAAAAGACTGAAGCTTTTTCTTCCAGATGAGTTCGGATCTTATCAGACTCCTTTCGAGAGGCCTAAACTGAAGGAAATTCAATCTCCCAATCTCACTTTCTTAAATACTGTTTGTGAACAGATGGAAGATAAGGAGAGTGATGTCGATGAAGTTCCAATAAGGCCATCGGGCAGGTTGATTAAGGAGGAATCATCTGAACAAAGGATGAGGTTGACAGAGAATCTTGGTCTGGATTATTCTCAATTATCAAATTTTGTTGAAGATGAATACATGTCACAATCATCAGATTCAGAGGAGGAGCTTGGTGATTCTTCACAAGACGAAAAAGAAACCTTCGATGTTTTTGATCGCTTTAACGATGTGTTTCACAATCTCTTCACTGATACAACAATGGAAACAAGGACGACGTTGGATGAGGTACCTTCTCAGTCGCATCATATAGCAGATTTAGACACTGTGGAACAAGTTGAATACAAGGATACTGGAAAAAACAAGAAACTGTTAAAGTACAGCAGGAGGAAAAGGTCGGCTTGCGTATCAGTCAAACGTGAAGCACAAAACCGAACTACCAAATTCATGTCAAATATGAAAGTTTCTTTGGTGCCACTGAAAGGGTCTTTATTTCATGAAAGGAATACTGGGAAAGTCATTGTTAGCAAGCTTGTGGGTGGAAACAAGGAAGAAAAGAAAATTCAAAGGGGCATTGTTAGATTTAATGAAGATAATTAGCTGGAACGTTAGAGGATTGGGAAGTAGGCAGAAGAGGTTGATTTTGAAACAACAATTCAGGCGCTTAAAGCCCGATATCATTATCTTACAAGAAACAAAGAAAGAATCAATTGACAGGTCGCTTCTGGCTAGTGTTTGGGGAAGCAGATTTAAAGAGTGGATTTATGCCCCTGCTCAAGGAAGATCTGGGGGTATAGCTTGTGATTTGGAACACCAAACACATCTCGGTTATTGAATCTTTGGTTGAAGGTTTCTCTGTCTTCATAAAAATTAAATCCCTTAATGGGTTGGACTGGTGGTTATCTGGTGTTTATGGTCCTTGCAAAAATAGAGAGCGAAGGGAGTTCTGGGAAGAAATGGCTGGCCTTTACGGTCTTTGCGGACCAAGATGGTGTGTAGGAGGAGATTTTAACGTGGTGAGATTTGTAAATGAGAAATCAAATGGGGGAAGAATGACTACAAGCATGAGGAATTTTAATGATTTCATCTAAGATACAGAACTCAAGGATCTAGAGTTGCTCAATGCTCAATTTACTTGGTTAAACTTCAGAGAAGAACCTGTGTGTCGGAGGTTAGACAGATTTTTGTTCTCGGTAGGTTGTGAAGAGATTTTTCTAGAGGTAAGACAAATGGCTTTGGCAAGGGTCACTTCTGATCATTGTCCAATCCAACTAGATATTAACAAGGTGAAATGGGGGCCAAGTTCTTTCAGATTCGAAAACATGTGGCTACAGCACCCAGATTTCAGGAACTATTTCAAACAATGGTGGCAATCTAAGCAGGTGGAGGGTTGGGAGGGTTATAAATTTTTGTACAAGTTAAAAGCTATCAAAAGAAAGTTGCAAAGATGGAGTAAGGAAAGTTTCGGTGATGTCGAGAAACAAATTAAGGATGCTGAGGCTAGCATAGAGGATTTAGATAGGAAAGAAGGGTTGGAAGGGCTAGATGTTGCTGCCAAAAGAAAGAAGGAAGAGTTACTTTTCCTAGTGGAAGATCTGGCTTATAAGGAAGAAGTGAAGTGGAGACAGAGAGGTAAAGTGGAATGGGCTAAAGAAGGGGACGGTAATACTAAATTTTTCCATAGAATAGCAAGTGGGAGAAGGAAGAGAAACTATATAGAAAGGTTGGAAGTGGATGACAGGGGAGTGGTAGAGGATGCAGAAGAGATAGAAAAACATATCGTTAACTTATTCAAGTCCCTGTTTAGTAGCAACGAAGAGGTATGTTGGGGCTTGGAAAGCATCAATTGGGCCTCAATAAGTGAATCTGAGGCAGCTTGGCTTGAGAGGCTTTTTGAGGAATCAGAAGTACAAAGAGCAGTCTTTGATTGTGGAAGGGATAAATCGCCAGGACCAGATGGTTATTCCTTGCAAATGTTTCAACATTGTTGGGAAGTCTTGAAAGTGGATATTTTGAAGGTCATGGAGGAGTTCTTTGAGACCGGGATAATAAATGCGGTGACAAATGAAACATTTATTTGTCTAATTCCGAAAAAGTCAGATTCTTTGAAAGTGACGGACTACAAGCCTATAAGCCTAGTTACTGGTTT